CGATTTTTCGCAAACCTCCTGGCGGGAGCCTGGCGAAGGCGTGGGTGTCGGCTGAAACGGCTGCTTCGGAGGTGGGGACCTGGAGGGAAACGAAGCCGGGATACCCCCCCTACCCCGCACCCTCTCCGCCTTCGGCAACCATCCAACACGCCCCCCAAGGTCGGCGGATCCTTGTTATGGGGACGCTTAAGCTGGTACTGAGAAACCCCTGTTAACTACAAGAAAGGCTTGCCCGAGTCAGTTTTCAGGATGTGCGCTCGAATCTAGCACCATGCCGGCCACCCTCTCAGCTGACTCGCGCCAAGTCAGCACTGGAGCCTGGGCTTGAACCTACTGGTGCCTAAGGGGGTGGGAGACTGGACCCCTGCAATAATCCCGATGAATTCTGCGAAGCTAGTCTTCACCTTCACTCCCCAGCTTCCCCTCAGAGCAGTAAGTCGATCGGTCTGTTGCACTTGTCTGCTTCTTCTTGCTTCGCTTGGATTTTTTGGGCTGACATGGGCTACCCCAAATATGGTCACCTTTGGTAGTTCGAGCTTAGGAGCACTTAGGCCTTGACAGGAAAAGAGCAAGCTTAGAGTCAGCAAGGGTGCGCGACAAGCAAGCGAAAAGCTGCGAGTATTTGATTGTCATACCAGCGCCGCGCACACGAGCCCGAACCGACCAACAAGAGTGGGATAAAACATGTGTTCTCTAGGCACTCCATTCTAGATCTCTCGGACCGTTTTACGGTTGCCACTTCCATGCAGCCGACCAGATATCCAGGATTTGATGCATGTCGCAATCGTGGACATGCAGACCACTATACCCTTGCTGCGTGATGCCTTGAGATCTCGTTATGGTGAGAGAAGCTGCATCTCGTCCTCATGCCGCAAAATGGCATACTGAAGGACTTTCTTGCACCATGAGTCTCAAAATGCGGCACAGAAGAAAGAGCATACCAGTCAGTTTGGTTGTACCTGCAAGAACAAGTGAGTGGTCAGCCCAGTTGCGTGTGCAAGCCCGTCTGAGCACATCTTGGTGGAAGCTTGCAAGACACAGTGTAGCCGATCCCATTTTGCATGGGAGAATCAGTCCTAGTTCATGCAGACCTGACATACCAGTCTGAAGCTGAACGGGAAAGTTCGCCAAAGAACTTTGCAAAGTAGCACACAGGCAAAGCAGAGCGTTTGTTTTCAACTTATAGTACCTCTTAAGTAGATAGAATATGGCTTTGGGTATATTACAATAAGATCCCCATGTACCCCATATTCTACCTACTTAAGGGGACTATGGATGCTTCAATGCCAGCTTCATGGCGTGGCATGGCTTGGAGCTTTGTGAGAAGAGCATAGAGGCAAGGCTTGGGGCCTTCTAGTCCCCCTTAAGTAGATAGAATATGGGGCACATGGGATCTTGCTGTAATATACCCAAAGACATATTCTATCTACTTACGGGGGACTACACACTTGCTGTTCAGGATTTGGGGGGATTCCGGTGCAAGATCCCATAACACCCCATATAATCCCTCTATGACCCCCATCTAACTCCATAACAACCCAAATAGTCCCTCTATAACCCCCATATAACCCCATAACCCGGAGGTTGCCAAAAGAAGATTTTCAGGACAACTCGCATGGGAATGTCCGGGCTTGTGCCGCAGCCCTGCATTCATCTGAATTCCATCCTTAACACAAGCCTCCCAATGGGTTCTGGGGTACTGTAATATAGACCCTACTGGATCAAAATCCTTATTACAGGGACCCCACAAAGGTGCCCCTAATTTTGGGAACCCTAAACCCTACATATCCCTATAGAACCCTACATAACCCCTAAATCCCCCTATAAAGGTACCTCTCAGTTTGGGAACCCCCTCTCAGCTCCGGGATTCGAAATGGCTCCTCAACCCCGTAGAAGCGGCCTGGAGCGGCTTTAATGGCTGGAAAGCCCCAACAAAGAGTAGCTGAAGAGGTTTAGGGTGTAGGTTTTAGGGGTGTAGGGTTTAGGGTTTAGGGTTCAGGGGTTTAGGGATAGGGTTATATGAGCCATAATCTAAACTCCTTAACGGAGGTTATATAGGGGAAGTTATATAGGGAATTATATTAGAGGTTATTAAAGGAGATACTAGGAGTTTAGACTATAGCTTGTATAGGGATAATGGAAGAAAATGGAAGTTGCTATGCTAGAGGGTGTAGGGTTGGAGAGTTTAGGCGTTACATAGTAGTTTCCATTTTCCTTTCCATTATCCTCAATATAACCCTTATATACGCCTATGTAACCCATTGTATAAGCCTATATAACCTTTAAATAACCACACAGAATAGCAGTTATCTTAGGGATTTTCTAGGGATAATGGAAAAGAAAATGGAGATTATTATATTACATAGGGTAGGTTGTATTGGGGTTAAACTGAGATAACGGAAAAAATGGAAGCTAGTATATTATATATGGTTATAAAGGGGATATCCGCATTCCAAGAATCCACAGGGTTTTCCTTTCAGATGTGCCCAGGCGGCTGCAGCTACCACAGCTGACGCACAGCCAAAGGCAACAGTCTTCATACTGCACATGCATCAGTCCTGAATCCTAATCGCTGCCATGCACAACGAAAGCGCACCATTTCACATGTCCTGACCACGGCCATTTGGCTACATCTTAGCTGTTTTTGCCTCGTAGACCGCCAAAGGCGGTGCTTGGGGCCATGGGTGTCTGAAGGCCCGGCCAAACATGCTTAAATCTTGTACAACATGAGAAGAGTGTCAACCTGGAATGCGTAGGAAAAGGGTAGACCCCGGGATCAAGCTGCAGTCTAGGGGCAAGGAGAGAGGCAGCTTTGAGCGCAGCGGCCACACGCCTGTACTACTTCAGAACCGTATGCCTTAAAGGCGAAGTTCTTAGGCGGTATGCTTGTTATACCCATCCCAGCTACAAACGCCGTTTTGCGCGGAGGACACCGCTTGGGCGCACGCATGTTCCGAAGTGCCTTCTTGAGGCAGACAGCAAACAGTGCCTTGGCAAAGCCCAGCAGGGATGTGTCTGACACACCTCGCTCGTCCAGCGACAAGGCTTCAAACGCAAGCCCTAGTCAGAGAGCTGAAGCTGTCCAGAAGAAAGCCGAGACATGCATTGCCTCACCCTTCGCGATGGTTGCTGGGGACCTCCTACCAACTGGCAGTCCTGGGAGCCGCCCTAGCCAAAAGACCGAGACGAGTGCAATATGCCTGCCGCTGCGGGCAGCGAGTTTAGCAATGAAACAAGATGCTGGTTTCCATGGTGTGGAAAGTTCTGCAAGCGTGGATGATGCGGAGCAGAGTACGCGTGATGTGACTGATCGGTCCACATCTAAGACATCAGTGTCAGACTCAGACATGGGAAGGCCACGAGCTCCGGCTCATGCAGATGCTGTTTCTGTGGATTTGGATGCAGATCACGAATACGCGGACATCTTCTCATCCCAGGTTGGGCTTCCGCTGGAAAGGATTTCCAGCCAGTCTCCTTGTGAGTCTTCAAACAGTCCTGCCGTGAGCCGCCGTCCAAGTCGTGTAGACAGCCCTGGGGTAGTGGTGGAATGGAGGGCAGGCACTGAGGTCCGCGCAGATTCGCCTAGGAGGCCATCACGAGGCGCCATGAGGCGCGCTCGCGAGGAGTGCTCACCAGCCTTGCAAGAGTACATTCGATGGCTAGAGGCACGTCAGCCAGAGCAAGCATCCCAACCTTCCGCGTCACGGCAGCACAGCACCACGGTGAACAGCATGGGCAGCGTGCTCTTTCCAGAGAATCTCTCACTGCAGTCGGCACAGGCTACAGGCCGAACTGCAAAAACTGTAAACAGCCTTGCGAGCAGCAACGCTGCTGAGCTCATTGGCGATCGTGAAGAAGCCGACCGTGCCCTGCGAGATTATATCTTGTGGCTTGAAGTAAATGATGCGCGAGCAGCCTCGGGTAGGCGCGCCAGCTTCACCATCAACAGTCTTGCAAGTTCAGACGCTGTAGATCTGCAATCGATATATGAGGCGGAGACATCCAAGGCAGTCGAAAAGTATTGTGCTTGGCGTCAGATGCAGGAGGAAGCTGACATAAGACCAGCTAAGCATGCAAGTCTGTCCATGGATAGCCTGGCATCAGATCTGATTCCTTCAAGTCCAAGCCCAGATGCCATCCAATGGCTGCTTGAGCAGAATTCCGGTCACGGTGCAATGGGCCGCAAAGAATCCGGCTCATTAGTGGTAAATCTGTCTGAAGGCAGCGGGAGTGAGCGCAGCGACAGCAAGAAGAGGGCCCTGACCGTCCTGAGCCTGCCGCCTTTGGATGAGGTGTGTCCGGGGCGGGGGGCGTATTGGGGGGGGGGGGGGGGNNAGAAAATTTCGGGGTAGGATTCAGAACCTAAGATTTGGGGAAACCGTTTGGTTTCTCAAACGTGCGGTTAACCTCCAGTGTTGCTAGGAATACATAGGGATTACAAAGAGGTTATAGGGGTTCCACTACTGTAAATGCAGGATGTTGAGAAAGTTCCAGGTTTCTGACTACGTCGGTGACGACCTGTTCACAAGCAGCGGCAAAAACCCAAGCTCGGGAAACAACACAATGTCAGCCCGCGTTCTGTCAAGCAGTTCCGGGTCAACCACTCGTGCCCAACTTCTGTCTAAGTCTTCAGGTTCCTTTTCCTCGCGCTCCTGGGTTGCTGTTAAGGANNATAATGGGTATATATCGTAAATAATCGGGTTTCCCCAATATAGTAACTTAATTTAAGTTCCGTAACAGCAACCCAGGCTCAGGCCGTTCTGATGCTGCAAGAAGATATGTGGATCCAGGGACTTTGCTGAGCTTTGAGAGCGAGGGAGATGGTTTGTTGGACGATCAGCTTCTGAGCAGCGAAGGCAGGGTACGTTTTGGACAAGCAAGCAGACGGCCTCCAAGGGCGTCCGGGGAGCCGAACACGACTGGGAGGGAGTGCCTGGCTTCCCAGAATCATGTCCGCAGCTCGGGATCTGTCATCAAGCACGAGGCCATGTGGCCACCAGTAGATCCAGAGACTTTGAGGAGCTTTGAGGGTGAAGCTTCTGACCATCTTTCCCAGGATGAGTTTCCCTTGCGGTCCTTGCAGAGTATGGACCGCTTTGAGAGGAAGGCCGTGGTGCCTATGTACTAGCCCCTACTTAAGCTTTATCATCTGCAGCCTAAAAGGCTGTGTACCATGAAGCCGGCAGCTTCTAGGTACATCCGTCTGCAAATAGCAGAGGTGTCAGATATCAGAGGTGTGGTGGGCTCAACGTTGTCAGTAATGAAGGTCTACAACTTGTTCAGTCAAGACTGCGGACTACTTCCGAACCCTGCCACTCCCTGAGGAAGCCAATTAATGCTGCATGCGTTTCATCCCATCATGTGATGATGCTTGCCTAAGCCAGATTTACCTCAGCCCTGTACAGCGGATGCGGTAGTGAATCGGAACTGGCATGAAGGGCGCGTGCTCGCGTTCCGTCCAAGCAACCAGTAGAGATCTTTCAGCAAAGCTGCTTTCGGCAGTAGAGGCCACGATGCCCTCTTGCAGAAGCGTTTATTGACCTACATGCTCCATGAGTTCGTCTCAGTCGCATAGACAATTCAGGCAATTCAGGAGCAGGTCATTTTTCCAGTCCTCTTGGGCGAGGGGTACGCATGCACCTGAGACTGTAACTGTGGGTCTGGGTAGCTGAAGAACAAGGAAGCACAACTAAGAACGGTGTATGTCCTCAACATCTTTATATAATCTCAGTGTACATTTCATTTTCCATTTTCTTTTCCATTTAATTCTTTATTGTTGGGGTATATATATATAATGGCTCAACCAAGATCGGTGCATGTCCTCAACATCTCTTGAATGCTGGCAAACTGCCAAGCAAGCAGGCAGCAGAGGCTGTTTGCTGGCCATCTTCGTCAAGTGTCGAATTGTCCCCAAAGATCTGTTGCAACCCCGGGAATCTCGTATCTGATTATCCGCCCCAAGCACGACCCCCAAAGCAGTTGTAGTGCAGCCCTTATCGTAAATTGCGCATCAGTCTGTTTGTTGTGTTTTGACCGGACCTGGGCGCGGAGTGCCAGGCGAGGAACCAGTCAGAGCTTATGAATAGAGGCGCTGCATGGAAAACAACTGTTCAACCGTCGTGTGCAAGATTTTCACCTGGAGCTTGTCTGTAAAGTGCGTGAGCAAGTTGTCGGGGAAAGTATGCTCCAAATACATAGGTACATGATCAAGTATAGGTTTGTGTTACAGACATAGCTTTGAAGCCTCAAGCCGCTCCGCAGGTGAAAGGGCCATGACGCATCAGCTGCCGGATGCAGCCAGGCCCTCAAGACGCGAATCCCTTGCTCGGCGGTGGCATCGGTAGTCCCTGGGTCGGAGGAAATGACCGTACCATGATGAAATATCGGAGGACCAGTTTAGAGGAGCTGACTCTTTGACAATGTTTCTGGTCCAGAGACAGCATGATCAACTGCAAACGCCATTGCAAACAGCAAATGTCACCAGGGAACTAGGCACCACGTTGCAAGGAAGAACTGGAGTTGTTCGCTCCTTTGTTGTGAGCTCGCGGCACAGCAGCGGCCATGGCACTTGGAGCACTCCACGACATCACCAACCTGGCATCGCGTGGATATGATGCTGACGGCCCCTAGTCAGTGCTGGCAGTGCTGGTGCTTTCTGTCTCGAGTCTGTCCACTTTGTTGCTTACGAGTGTGCTCTGCAGTCAAGTCCTGAATCTTTGAGCCGAGGCTTTGGTCTTCCTGGCACGCCTGAGAGGCTGCGATCTCCAACCAAGAAGCTGTACACCCCACGCTGTACAGAGACGGACGGCGAGCAGCACAGGATGCCCATGCACAGTGGGAGGCCATCTACTTCCTCCTGCAGAGCTTTGTCGGAGGGTTCCTGTCTTCGAAGGGAGTCTATTGGGAGACGCACATCAATCTTGGAGCTTGCGCCGGAAGATAGAATGAGAGCCCTAGGTGTTCCTGAACGGCTTGGCCACCTGCCACGACAAAGGAAGCATAGTCTGGGGCCTCCGCAGAGGAAGCAGCTCAGCATGCAGCAGGCACAGACCCCACACGAGCACGCTCGACAGCCTGGCCGCGCTGTACCTGTTGTACCTGTTTCCTCGCCAAGTTTGGTCTTTGAAGCCAGCAGGGGAAATGCCCACATACGACAAGAGACAGAGCGAACTTATTTCATGGCGAGTTCGCCCAGCAATCCGAGATTTCCCCTGACTCCCCGGCAGACAAGGCCGCGCTCAAGAGCTCGAACTGTGGGGCCGCGCACGCCGCGTTCTCCACCTGCTTCCTTCGCTGTGACCAGGCGAACGGAAAGGCCTTTGAAGTCTGATGATGCCAAGGGAGCCAATGCAGATCGCAACCATCGAGCGAAGGCAGCTGCCCCTCCTCCAAGGTGGCGCTACTAAGCCTGCGAGCTTTTTCAGTCGCAGCGCTCTTTGTCCTGGGCTGGCCTCCAGTTGTGGTGGACTGGTGGCTAGCGCAGAAATCATTCCGCTCCTAACTCTTGGCGAACGATGTAACCTACTGTACTTAATTTGTCCAACATGCTTGCACACAATTCGCTGACAGTCGCTGGCATTTGGAATGGTTTGAGGCTTTCAGAGTATCTGTTTTGACTAGTCAGCTTGTCCAAGCTACCCGGCTATTTTTTTAAACAATTGAAGACGAAGGCAGCAAACGCTCTGATGGTTGGCGCAGTAGTTTTTTTTTAATTTCGCTGAGCGCTCATGCATTTAGCTCAAGAGCTGCAGAGACGAGCTGTCCGCAGTAGTCGTGTCTGATACTTTGCGTTCATATGGACCCTGTAGAAGGCTTTTATTTTGCGGCTGCGTTTGGCATTGGACGTTGGACAGCTCGTAAGGGCTTTTTGGCGAAGTTGTACAGGCAGCCAGAAGCTTCAGCATGTTGCGAGGTGCAGTGCAAGTGAATTCAAAAAGTAAAGTAACACGCAAGTCGTTTGATACTGGCTGCCCCTAGGCGTCCTCCTCTTCTCCCATCCTCCTCCCTTTCGCTTCGTGCGCTCAAGGTCTGCAACGCGCAGCAGCACGCCATGCTGCAAAGTGGACTTTTTCGCCCAGGTGTGCTCACAATATTCTTTTTCTACTGCTTTCGATGCCCCGCCTCCACCCCTTCCCCACAACCAACACCACCCACCCGCCACCACTGCCACCGCCGCCGCCGGCCGCCGTCGCCGCTGCTGCTCCACTGCTGCCACCACTGCCAACACGGCCAGTATCCTGTATCAACCTGCCATTCGGGTCTTTGACGGTCAGGTGCTTTCATCGCAAGATGCCTGTCTGAAGCATCAGATCTTCCAAGGCACGACTGTGAAGCTAACAGGCCCTGTAGACCCAAAGTTAGTTGACTGCACCTAGCAGGGCCAAACACTGGGCTGCTGCTGTTTAGGCACTAAAATCAAGTTACATAACGTGAGCATATCGCAAATGAGAATGCAGCTTCTTCATGGTGCTACCTGTGTTTAAGTTGCTGAACACCATCCCAAAAAATCCAGACAGGTGGCAAAGAACGCTGCTCGCTGGCTGTGGCCTTGCTGCTGTTGCTGGTGTGGGCTGGTACCTTGCCCACACAACAGAGGCAGATATGGTCCAGGAGGGCAGGGCCAAGAATCCCAGGCTTTAGGGTTTAGGGTTTAGGGTAATCTTAGCTTGGGAGTTCCTAGCAGGGTCGATCTATCAAGCCCCAAGGCGCTAAGCCTGAAAGGTTCCCCCAACAAACACTTCCTTGTGTAACACTTCACATGAGCCAATATAGTCCCCTTAGGGTTCTTGACAAGGATCGGAAAACCCAGGGGTGCAACCTTCCGGGTAAGAACCTGAAACAGCTATCTCGCAGGAGGAAGCTGTGAGCCGCTTCTTCCAAGTTGCTGGCTTGCTGTTGAGGAACTTAAGTTATTGAAGCAAGGAAACCCTATTTGTTTTACCCATATTGTGATCGCAACCTAACTTCCTGAACAGCAACCCAGGTTGTGGACCCCGACATGGGGATCAACCTCCGCTCTGGGCCAGACGTATCTTCCCAACGAACTGCTTATGTCTTAATACCTGGTGAGGCTTTCCACGTCTGCCGTGTAGTCCGGAACGGGGATCAGGAATACCTTTGCCTAAGCGATGGACGCGGCTGGGCCTTTACACGCAGCCCCAAAACGGGAGTGGAGGTTTGCGCCAGATGCTCTGATGAGGAAGTGGGAAGCCTACTGAACCTACTGCTCATGCTGTGCGTTGTTCAACTAGCCCCAGTCCTTTCTGCAACGTGCAGTGTTGGCTGAGGTGATGCAAGCCGGAGGCACAGCCCTGGATCAGGCGGCTATGGGACGAAGTTAGGGTGTTCCCACCCATAGAAATATGTCACTTTCTCTAGTAGTTTCCCTTTTCTTTTCCATCATCCCTATATAGCCCTAACATACACCCTATAACCCTAATATGAACCTCATGATAATATAGTAGTTTCCATTGTCTTTTCCACTATCCCCATAGAATTGGTTGTCCTACGGTGGATACTAAAAAT